TTTCCACAGTGAACTGTGCTCATTCCTGACAGTGACCTCTGATCTCCAAGGAAATGATAGGGCCCGGCAACAACAAAATCTAAAAGGATGCTTTAAGCTGATAATTCAAACTGTGACAGAAGAGGTCTATGTATAAAACTTTGGATTCATCAAGATATGATAGATAATGGAGTAGTTTCTCTAAATGTGCCAAATGTAAAGTTCTGGATATGGTAAATGTAATTCTTACCTGACAATTGTATTTATTGTATATGGTTTTATGGGTTAAAAGATAAAATATCTCCTTTATATTTAGATGAAATGGGGTGAGTGTTGCAGGATATTTGATCACACTCTGACACTCCAAGACTGTGTTAGAACAGTTTACCTTGAGTCAGAGGGCAGAACCAGCGACCGGTTGACAAACTTAGCCATAGAGAATTCAGAGAACCCAGAAGTGCAGTAGAAAGGCACAGAATGGAGTAGGGAGAAACCTGGAGATTTTTAGCCTTTTCTTCTGTCCATTTGGGTCTAGGAAGTGTACAGAGGAGGTCAACTGGTCTCTCTTCTGCCATTTATTTGATCTATAAGGTTTTTACCCTAATATCCAACTCTCAAGTCTTTGTTGGTGAGAGAACAACTAAGGCAGTATAACATCAAACCTTGAATATTATCCTGTCTTTAGATTCTTCCGACCCTCAAAGAAATAAAAGCCAATATACACAATACTTCATTGTGCTTCTCTTCGAATTTTCTGACTGCTAGTATTCACTCTGTGATCACCAAACTTACTCTATCCAAATTATATTCAAAACAGGAAAAAATCTCAGATGAGTGGGACAGAGATATGTTAGTTACACAGTTGTTACTATAGTTCTGTCATTCTTTGCACAAATACTTACCCGAATTTGGAAAATTCAATAAGATCCCTACCTTACGACCCCACATCAGAAAGTTCCTAGACTGAGTCGTGCTGTGCCTCTGAGCTGAGTGATTTAGTAGCAGTCCCCCACTGAAGACATGCTCTCAGTACATATGCAGGCCTTGTGTTTCCCTAGCCCTTCTGGCTTCTTTCAGTCAGGGGCCTGGTTGGAAGTAGCACAGGTGATGTTCCTTGAGCTTCCTTGCCTGAAAAAAGCAATTGTGAAGGCTCCTGGGAAGATGCTTTCTACTTAGAGGGGAAAGAATAGAATGAGGAAGACAAAACAGAGAATTTAACTGGCCCCATTCTGCTCACGGCACACGGGCACAGAATCATCATCAGTGAAGCTTGTCAGCTTCCTGTGCCTGCCAGTGGTTCTGACAGTAAGGAAAGGTTTAGCTGAGACTGCCTTTGTCCATGTTCCTAGAGGGAAAGAGTCATCAGTTCAGCACCTGAGGCCAGAGGCTGACCAACACATGACCAGAGGATGATTCACAAAGGTTAGAGCCCATACTACCAGTCAGACCAGTAAGAGACTTATTACTCTCCATCTTTGAATATCAAACATAAAGGATCATCTTAGGTCATGCCTGACATCTGCTGTGTCAATTACAGTATTGCCTACTGAGCTGGGAAACCAGTATAACAGAGTCTGTTAAACCTAGGTTCTTCCTTTGAATATACTCCACTTAGAAGGGTATAAGTGTTAAAGGGAAGTAATGCAAAGAGAATACATGCTTTATGATGGGACATGGGAGGGCAGGGTAGATCAGGGAATATAGAGAAAGATGATTATCATTAAATGTCTTTCAAAATAGCCATATGTCATATGTAGATCTCCTACACTAAAAGCTTACTAAAGATATACATATATAAAATGTTTTAATGGAGTTACCTTACTGCTGCAGATGGTGCAATACCTCAAGTAGATACCTCATATTAACAAATGCAAAACTCATTAGCACTCACAGCTTACCTCTCTTTAGTTGTTAGCCAGTAGGTTCTCATAGACTGAATCCACGACCTTACACACTATTGCCTGTAACTTGTCCACAATACAGAACAACATGCTAAGACCCCATTTCTGTAGACACCAATGCTTAAGACAGACAACATGGAGAAATCTAAGAGGTTCTCACGAGCACTTCATCCCTACTGGCCAGCCCTCATGATACTGTAAGGTGCTATGGACACTGCTGAAGGAGAAAAGTACTCACAAGGCTCACACAGCTCTGAACACTGCAACCTACAACAATGACTGCCTTAACAAGATACGACCACTGGTGTGACAGTGACACAAGTGAAGGGGTGCAACCAACCACTTTCTGTTTGGATTTAAGGTTCTTCTCTGAGACAAAGTGCATACTTAGCACCATCAAAGTGGAGAGACTCTGTAGCTAGATAGTACATAGATTCTGAAAGATTACCCAATCAACGGTATTACTCTGCTAAATGAGCAAATCAAGACAGCAATTCCTAGTAAGATTGCCACAGTCATATAAGTATATCTCATTCCTCATCGGAGGACATTTTTCCTTCAGTAAAAACTTAACACAGAGAATGACAACTGATAAATGTTGCAAAGAATGAGAGACTTGTGTATGTTTAGCATTACCTCACAGAAGAGGTAGAAACGGTTCTATTCATATAACCAGACTATTAAACGTTTGAACACGTAACTATAGACACTGCATGCACAGTCATAGGAAAGCTCAAACCAGACCTAGCACATCATGCATGAGAGGGGAAGAATGAAATGTCATCACTTAGGCTCTATTGCCAGGTGACAACTTCTAAAAGGTGTGTCAGTTTTTAATTATGTGAACCTTGATATATTGACTAGACTCCCAGGAGGACCTATTGCCTGGGGCAGTTAGACTACAAAATCAGATGGTGAGGGAAGGAGAAGCAAATGAAAAAGTAATCAAGGTTGTGTGGGAAGAGAAGGAAAGGCATAGTATGTGGATAAGGACAGTTGTTGGTAAGGAACTGAGTCAATATCGCTGAAATGCATTGAATGAAATTCTCATAGGTTTAATAAAGATGATATATTAAAGGATACCAGTGAGTCTCCAAACACAAGTATCATAAGTTTGCTGTTTTATATCTAATACAGTGGCTGAGGGTGAATGCAGTCCACCCACATATATTTAAATATCATGAGTAAACCCCTCAACTTTTACAATGATATAAGCAAAAATATTATTTTTATAATAGAGTTTATGAATTCTGTCAGCACCATCACCAGAGTCAGAGAAGCCCAGTCTCTTTACAGACTGAGCTGAATTTGAGTTGATTCTACAGAATCTCCTTGAAGAGCAGCTACATATAAAAAGGACTCACAGTAAAACTTCTCCAAGTATGAACTTGAATACCAAAGACTAGGAACACACATGTCCACACATGAATACACACACAAGGGTACATTCTAGCTGTCATCTATCACTGAGATAAATGTTTGGTTCTTTTCATTTAAGTACTATTAAGTTCATAAATCCCTAGGTTCAATATGCATATTTTATTCCTATTTTCCTGGGATTTATTAACCTAATGGCAGGCTTGAACGTGAAGTTCTAATATTTTTCTAGTTCTTCATTTAATTTAATATTTAACTATCGATAATCTAAGCCATTAAGAAGAAGTCACTGAAGAAAATCAAGATTCTCCAATAGCAAATGAAAGGAGCAATAACAAGCAACAGGAGGAACCATGCGGGCTTCCCATTCCTAGGCCAGAATCCCTTTCCCACACGTTTCTACAATTATCAATATTTCACGTAATTTTTTGATGATGATGTTGGTGGTGGAAGGATGGTCATGGAAATGGTGATGGACATGGTGCTCTCACAGAAGTAATAGTAATGAGGATGCCAATGATAGTGAAGGTAGGCAGTGCTAGCTGGTGTGATAGCTTGTAGTGGTTAAGGTAATGATGGTGGTATGGTTGATGATAATAAAATGTTTTACATGGAAGATGATATAGGAGAGAGGGTCGTAGAAATGATATGTTTCAGAAGCTTCTAAAATATCGGGTGTTTAGTGCTAATTAGGTGTCTCGGATTGTGTCAATCAAATGGCATACATTAGCTCAATTGTGATCAAAGGGAAGACTTGGCAAGCAGGAGTTTCCACAAGTAAAACTGGCAAGAAAATGTTCAACATATTTAGCCATTAAAGAACAGAAAACCAAGCCCCCACCAGACCAGTCTACCCATGTAAGGATGAGGACCATCAAAATAATAACAAATCCTGGCAGAGGAGTGGAGGAAAATGAACACAAACTCTCAGAGTTGAGAGAGGAGACAAGCCCATCAAATATGGAAATCAATATGGGGTTTCCTCCAAAGAAATAGCACCAAAGCAGAATAATCATATGATTCAGCACCATCACTTGGGTTTTTAATAAAAGAAGTCACATACAGCATAGAATAGAGATGCATGTATACCCATCTACATTTCAGAACTACTCCTAACATGCAAGGTAAATTAGTCAGTAGAGCTGTACACCAGAAGTGGATGAGATAAGAATATGGGGCACTTAGGTGGACTTGGGTAATGATCAGTCATATGAAACAATGATATCATGTCCTCTGCAGGCAAATAAATGACACTGCATATCATCGTGTACAGGGAAATAAATTCAGTCTTAAATACAAGGTTGGCACCAATGTCTCAAATATTAAAGGAAGAAAAGACAATAAGGGTAGGTTAATGTAGATGTGTAACTATTACATAGGACAAAGGGGAAAGTGAATAGAAAATACATGGGGTATGGGAGATATTTATCCTATGTGATGCATGCTTATCTGAATACCACATGATCTTCTTAAAATAGCATGTGCTAACAGGTAACTTAAAGTTATACAAAATGAAACTTTCTCTCAAGCAAACAAACATTAAGCAATCTTTGTTATGAACCAAAATGCAGTCAAAATCTGATTACAACAAAATGACCCCGGCATCAAAGAATAAAAATAATGTAACAGGAGCATATCAGGAAGGTCATAGAGTCAGTTTTAGAAGAAAAAGAAGAACTCATGAGTACTAACAGTCATATTGTACTTTATTCAGGAAATAAAGCCATAGTGACAACAACACAAACAAAGAGACTGCGAGTTTTGGAAACATCCTCTGAGTGCACAGGGTGGAAAGATGCTGCTCATCACTGAGCATTTGGGACAATGAGCCAGTGAGCAAGGACCATTCTCAGCCTCCTCTTATAGCAGAAGAACAATTTCAGGAGAATGCCCTTCCTATCAGGGGTCATCACAGGCACATGGAGGGTGAAGGCTGGAGACGATTCTTCTGCATCCATGGCAGGCTTTGAAGCAAAGACGGAAGTGTTTCTATGGAAGAATGGGAGAAAGATTTTCTCCTCTTCTCTTGGTCCTGGTGACTGCTGCAGCACTCACATGTTCTTCTGTGGGCACTTCTGCTGGCAGGGTGGAGGAGGTTGCACAGGAGGGCACTTCTGCTGGCATGGCTGAGGGGGGCATGGCTCAGGGCACTGTGGAGGAGGACAAGGCTCTGGGCACTGTGGAGGAGCACAAGGCTCTGGGCACTTTGTGGGTGGGCACACAGGAGGAGGCTGGCAGGGCTGCTTGCACTGCTGTTCTTGGTAAGACATCGTGCTGAAGTCTCAGGATCTGAAAGACATTACATGACAGTGTTACGGGTGATCCACACAGAGACAATAGACGAAGACATCCATTTCTCTCCCCACACATGTACATCTTCCCCAATCCTGTCTTAGGACAGCCTGGCCTTTCCCTTTCCTGTTAGCAATGCGACTCTAGCTTTGGGAGATGACCTTCTTTTCATGCCTTATTCAAGCAAGAAATACTTTATTTTAGTGAAACAAGTAAGGCTGATTTCACACAAAAATTCCTTTGAGACAGACAGTCTCAAGTTCTGGAACCCTGAGCAATTTGAGAACACATCCCAGTTTCCTTGGCACTTGTGACATCCCAGCAGGTTGTCTGGAGTTGCAGAATAAAGGACAGCTCAGGAAAGTCCCAGGTTCTGACATCTGTTAAAGTATAGGGCTCTGAATAGGACACCAAAAGATGCATATGAAAGAGAAAAATACTCTGTACAGTATACTACCAAATAAAAGGAACAATCACCTTTCACAGTGGACCATTGTTATACTTCCGATTGCTAAGATGTTGCTGCTCATCCCATGAATACTACTGGACTCAACACATTTAGTTCCTCAAAACTGACAGGAGCACATAAGCAGACCAAAAAGACAGATCAGCCCAAGAAACACTCACCAAGTTCTTCAAACTCGGGGTCCAGGACTTGAACACCAGGAGTCTGCAGTCATACAGTCAAGGACTTCGTTATAGGACTGGCTGCCCCGCCCAGAAGGAGTAGGGCTGTAATTGAGGGCAGGTCCAAGAATTTCCCAAGCAAAATGTAAATCCATGTATGACTGTCTTGACTTGGACTCTACAAACTAGGAAATATCCTATTCCTGGGCACCATCACTGTAGAGCCCTGTGACTCAGTGGGCCCTCCTGTCTTTTCAGTTTCAGCAAGATCTCCCTGGTTATCTAAGTTCTCTTTCTTGATTGAAGACAATATTATATTTCTTTTCTTTATTACACATCTCTTGTGTCCTGATGCTTTGCTTTGGCTCACTAATTTTCTTTGGTTCACTGGCACATTCATATTCCTGTTTTCTCGGTTTTATTCGCCTCTGTGCAGAAATGAGGATAGTATTACAGGAGATTTCCCCTGTGCTCTCAGCCGCATCTTTGACAAACCTCTTCCCAGAGATAGGTCAGGATTCCTGCCTATGTTTAATTCTTTTCTGTAACCATTTAAAATCTAATATGCTGTTCATAGGGGATGCTGCTGAGTTTGGGCCATAATTTGACGTCTTCTGGGGTGACATCTCAAATTATCTATTTGTGGTATATATTTAGACTCCCCTCTAAAGAAAATTATAAAACTGCTTATCATGAAGATAGAGGAACTAGTGAAGATCTTCTCCCAGTCAGAAGGCAGCCTTTTTGTCTTACTGACAGTGTCCTTTGCTTTACAGAAGCTTCTCAGTTTCAGTAGATCCCATTTATTCATTGTTTCTCTTATTGTCTGTGCTGCTGGGGTCCTACTTAGGAAGAGGCCTCCTGTGCCTATATCTTGTAGACTACTTCCCACTTTCTCTTCTATCAGGTTCAAAGTGGACGGATTAATGTTGATGTCTTTAATCCATTTGGACCTGAGTTTTGTGCATGGTGATAGGTATGGATCTACTTTCATCCTTCTACAGGTTGACATCCAGTTATGCCAGCACCATTTGTTAAAGATGCTTTCCTTCTTCCATTGTATACCTTTAGCTCCCTTGTCAAAAATTGGGTGCTCATAGGTTTGTGGGTTAATATCCAGGTCTTCTATTCGATTCCAAAGGTCGATTTCTCTGTTCTTATCAACCCCTCATCAGACAAAGGTCTGATCTCCAAAATATACAAAGAACTCAAGAAACTAGGCACTAAATCTCTAATTAACCCAATTAAAAAATGGGGTACTGAACTGAACAGAGAATTCACAACAGATGAACCTCGAATGGCCAGAAGACACTTAAGGTCATGCTCAACCTCCTTAGCAATCAGGGAAATGCAAATCAAAACAACTTTGAGATACCATCTTACACCTGTCAGAATAGCTAAAGTCAAAAACACCAATGATAGCCTATGCTGGAGAGGATGTGGGGTGAGGGGAACACTCATCCATTGTTGGTGGGAATGCAAACTTGTGCAGCCACTGTGGAAATCAGTGTGGCGGTTTCTCAGGAAACTGGGAGTCAACCTCCCTCAGGACCCAGCAATTCCACTCTTGGGAATATACCCTAGAGATTCCCTAGCATACTACAAAAGCATTTGTTCAACTATGTTCATAGCAGCACTATTTGTAATAGCCAGAACCTGGAAACAGCCTAGGTGCCCCTCAATAGAAGAATGGTTAAAAAAGGTGTGGAACATATACACACTAGAGTTTTACTCAGCGGTAAAAAATAATGACATCTTGAATTTTGCATGCAAATGGATAAACATAGAAAACGCTTTACTGAGTGAGGTAAGCCAGACTCAAAAAGAGGAACACAGTATGTATTCACTCATAAGTGGATTCTAACCATAATTAAAGGTCTTTGAGCCTATTCGTGATCCTAGAGAAGCTAAATAAGAAGACAAACCTGATGAAGATTATTTAGCTATCCGCCAGGAGGTAGGAAATAGTCAAGAGTCCCAGGTAACCTTGGGTGCATGGGCGGCAGTGGGAGGGTTGTTGGAAGGGGAGAGGGTTAGAGAGAAGGGAGTAGGGGAGGAATGGAGAAAGCTCGGTTGACCAGGATGGGGGGAAGGGAGGAAGGATGAATATGGGATCAGGGAAGAATATATTTCAACTAAGGGAGTCATTTTAGGGTTTATAGGAAACTTGATTATATATGGGATCCCAGGTCCAAGGAGAGATCCCCCAGATTGTTCTCTGGACAGAGGAGAGGGTGCCTGAACCGGCCTTGGCCCATAACCATACTGATGAATATTTTGCTTATCACCATAGATCCTTCATCTGGCGATGGATGGCGATACAGACGGAGACCCACATTGGAACACCGGACTGAGCCCCCCAAGGTCCAAATGAGGAGCAGAAGGACGAAGAAAATGACGAAGGACTGCGAGGGATGCTATCACCCACTGATACAAGGGGTCGGATCTAATGAGAGTTTACCAAGGGCAGTTGGACTGCGACTGAACGAGCACGTGATCCAACCAGATTCTCTGAATGTGGCCAGATTCTCTGAATGTGGCTGGCCAGGAGTCTTTCTGAGAAGCCATTGACAATGACACTGGGACTAGTTTCCTCTGCATATACTGGATTTTTGGGATCTAGTCTGTTTGGATACTCACCTTCCTGGACCTGGAGGGAGGGGGGACGAACTTGAACTTCCCACAGGGCTGGAAACCCTGACTGCCCTTAGGGACAAAGAGGGAGGAGGAGAGGGAGGGGGGGAGTGGGAGGGTGTTGGGAAGAGGGGCATAAATGGAAACTTTTATAATTTAATAAAATTACTTTCAAAAAAAAGATAGAGGAACTAAAATCACACCTGTCCTATGTTAGCATACTCTTGCTTGGATAGTTAGAATGAAGACTCACAATTTCTCCCATTCTCACTGTTGAGCCCACCTTGGCTGTGATATACACCTACTTGAGTTTCTATTAGAATTCTCAAAACATATAATATACTGAATCCTTAATATACAACACATGTACTAATTCTTGTAAATGTACACAGACAGAAAATCATGCATGCACACTCACACACACACACACACACACACACACACACACAGTATCAGTCTTACATTTTTACCTGCCACATACCTACATATATCATGTCTCGATTTTCTAATATTTGTTAATTATATATTGCTGCATGAAAACTAGCAGAATTAATTAAAAGTTTGGTGTTTGTCATTGTTGGTTGACTTTACAACACTTTGAAGGAGGCCTAGGGTCTGGGCACTTTGGAGGAGGACAAGGCTCAGATCATGTTGAGGGTGGACAAGGCTCTGGGCACTTTGGAGGAGCACAAGGCTCAGGACACTTTGTGGGTGGGCACACAGGAGGTGGCTGGGAGGGCAGCTTGCACTGCTGCTGTTGGTAAGACATCGTGCTGAACTCTTAAGATCTGAAAGACACCATGTGACATTTGTCACAAGAGGTGTTTCCCCACAAAGAAAGAAACTCCAGTTTATGAAATATCAGAACTCTTCCTCAATCCCAATTCCTGCTCCAGACTTCCTGTATTTCCCTTTCATATCACCCTTTTGTTTCATTAGCCTAGAAAAGCAATCTTTTTCTTCATATTTTCTGTAAGAAAGCATCTTTCTTCCAAAGGACAGAATACTGCTACTTGACGAAAACAGCACCTTCAAGAAGGCACTGTGAAGTTTAAGTTGTGACATACTGAGTTGTCACAGTGATGACAGTAGCCTCTGTCATCGCTACCACTTGTGATGACCCAGGAACTTGGTTAGAGTATAAAAGAACACCCAGATCAATTCAAGAATCTAGAACCTCCTAAAAAGAAGACCAAAGAAGTTCAGAAAAGAGAAAAGTATTCTCTCCGGTCCTGGAGAGCTGAGTTGGAATTGGAGGAGAAAGAATAAACTGAGGAGCAAAAGAAAAGCCATGAACTAGACCCAGCTGTGCTCTGGGAAGCACAGGGGCCCTGAATCCGCCTGGGTGAAGCATGCCAGCTTCCTGTGACTGTCAGTGCTTCTGACAGTAAGGAAGGATTCGGCTGAGAATGCCATTGTCCATGTCCCTGAAGGCGAAGAGTCATCAGTTCTACACCTGAGGCCAGGAGTCAAGAGTCGCACCACCAGTGGATGGCTCATAAATGTTAGTACACAGCCCATAGGGCCAGGTCAGTACGAGACTCACTGCTCTCCATGTTTGCATATCACACCTAAGAATGAGCTCAGGGAAACTCTGTGATCGTCACACAAGGCAAAAATAGGCTCATGCCTTTGGGCCGCCGCCATGAACTAGGGTGTGTATATGGAAGAACTAGCACCACTAATCTTCTGTGCCTTGCTACTTACTAAATAAGGT